TTTAGGCTGAAGGTAAAGACTTCAGTTTAAACTGTTCAAATATCAGAAATTCAAAGTCAAGCAAGGAAAAAATGCATAGAACCAAATTTTATTTTGGAGGGGAGGGTTCTACAGTTATGTTATGTTTGTGGAGTGCATGGATGAGGAGAAACAGGTATATAAAATAAACAACATAGCAATTGATGAAATAAAACTGCCAGCCCTGTTTCACAGCCTGTTGAGGAAAACTGCCTGATCGGCTGTGTCAAACACTGAAGTCGAGTCATGTTACTTAAGTATTGATTAAAATGCTATTCATAATCCTAAGCTTCTTGTGAACTGTTTTTAATAGTCCGACTGAAATTAATCAGCACGTTTCTGTGTTCCATTAGCTATAAGCTGCCTGCTAATTATGTTTTAGGGGTAATTTGCAGATTGGAAGGTAGTTATGATAGAATATATCAGGGGTGGGCAACTCCAGGCCTCGAATGCCGGTGTCCTGGAGGTTCATCACAGCTGATTTAAATGGCTAAATGACTCCTCAGCAAGTTCTCCAGAGGCCTGGTAATGAACTAATCATGTGATTCAGGTGTGTTGACCCAGGGTGCGATCTAAAACCTGCAGGACACCGGCCCTCAGGGCTGGAGTTGCCTACCTCTGGAATATATAATCGATTTCCAATTAAATATTACAGAAACCTCTCAGTCTTCAACAGAGGTGGCGCTGACATTCGCTGGAACATGGTTAACTAGATTTTTAATGTTGTTGAAGACAAGTTACAGGTTACGTTTCATCGTGGGAACCATTTGATGTTAGTTACTTAGTCATTAAAAAAAACACAACTGTGTCATATAAAAGGAGGTAGAGCAGGTCATCTGCTGATCAGAAGAACATGTCTATGTAGGTTCTCAGTCATCCACATCATCGTAGTCTGAGGACCTTGGACATGAAAGCAACTGGACTTCTTTAAGGTTCTTGAAGACATTTCAGCTCCCGAGAAACATCTTCAGTTCTAAAACCAAACGGTGCAGAGTCCCAGGCTTTTAAACCCTAGTGGGAGTTTTACCTATTGATCATGTACCTCATCACATGAGCCAAGGTGTGAAAAAAGGGTTATTATGGGCAGAGGTTTCGGGTGCAACCATTGTGAGACCTTCCCTCACTCTATCATGTGATCACCTGATGATGTAGATGTGAGTGGATATTAAAGCGTGTGGGTAGTGATGTCAAAACTGCATTGTTGGTAGCAGA